CTCTTACATTCTACTCTAAGTTTCTGGGTAGTTTTGTGGTTGGAGGTGGGGGGGTGTTGTGGTTTTTTCATTATTGTTATTTTACTGTCTGTTTTCAAATTCTTCAATTTCTTGCCTTGGTAGCAGCGTTATTATTCATGATGTTCTTACTTTTTTCACAAATTGTGATAGTCATTTTGTTTGTTGACTAACGTATGGAGAAAATGAGATAGATAAAAAGTGGGATGTTAGCTTTGGTATTTCAAGATTATTTGTTAATGTTTGTAAATTGATAGAAGATAGGAGAAACTGTAAAAATCTTCACAGGGTATATGTAATTTTAATTTTCATTGAGAGTAATATTTTTATAGAGTTTGTACATGCATACACAGATGTGCACACATCCTCATAATGTATAGCTGCCCGGTAACGTATACCAGAATACTGACAGATAAGAAAATTTCAGGCTATTAATAGCACAGGCATTAATTTTATACTCAAACTCAGCTACTTAATTCCTGTATTAAAAGCACCATTTCCAGAATACATATTGAGAAAATTAACTCTGGTCACAGATTTTTTACATTAAGGGAAGAAAACTTAGAATGCTGAAGAAATTCCAAGCCCTTCTTTCACATTGTAGTCTTAGTTTTCTTAGTCTCTTACTTTATTTGTGTTGTACTCTGTATAAAGCAAGTTTTGAAGTGAATTAAACACAAAATTTAATTGTAAAAGGTTGGATATAGTGCAGACTTCTCCACACATTTCTCTGTTTCAAGAAACATATGACATATTAAAGTCAGAGCTTTTATCTTCCCATCATCAACAAATAGATTTAAAAAAAAAATAATCACTGTGTTGAATCAGGTTCCTCAGCATCCTCTTGCGTTTAAATTGACAAAGAGTTGAGTGGGTAACAGGGATTTACATCAATCAGGATTGGTGTTTCCAGAGCATAGAATCTGAAAACTAAAATGCAGGATCTGAAAGATCATCATGAATCTAGTAATTGTGTAGCCATCATCCTTCTTTTTGTATACTGGCTTGCTTAGGAACACTTGCCCTAGCACTGTGGAACATGGGAATGAGGTACTCCTTAGGCAGTGGGAGACAAAGGCTTCAGGCACTCTGTAGCCTGGTAGGATTCGAATTTCCAGCTTCCACTTGTCAGGTTATTCCCTCTGGGTATGTTTCAGTCCTCTTTTTAAAGCTCACTGCTGTAGTGGAAGGCACAAGATGCATCAGTCTTAAAGAAAAACCTTTGAGAAGAAAACTGACTGTCTAGAACTTAGGGCACTTCACCAGAAGTGGTTCACAGATTCTTAACCCTTCTTCTTTAACTTACCTAATGGATTATCCAGAGACAGTCTGATTTAAAGTACATGAGTAGCATCAATATATTAAACTGAACATGAGTCACGCTGTCTCAGAGCATGGCCAGCAAACAAATTTGACAGACAGAGGATGATGTTTTTGTTTTCCTGAAATTGAGGTTCATATGGGTTTGCATGTTGATTTAGGAACCTAGAAGAGAATTTATTATTTTCTTGTAATGTTCGGTTCCAAGGACATTTTAGGTGCCCAGGCTCTTCCAAGTAAGTTCTCTCTACTTAGAAGCCCAAATTGTGTAGGAAAATGGCAGTAGGTGCCCCTGAAAGCTGCATTGGATCTGGCCTAACTGCACAATATGTGTGAATGATTAATTGCCAACATATAAAAATCATTACTCTATTAAAGCCAAATGTAAGACTATTCCAATCTTAAATTATTAACGTGTGTCATGTAAAAAAAAAAAAAAAAAAGGTCCAAAAGATTGAAAGCTTAGAAGTGATAATCTAATGAGGGTACTATACTTTAAATACCTCTGAGATTAATTTGGTTTTTGATGGAGTTGTGCCTTCTTTGATGTGTTCCTTTCTTCTTTGATATTCTACGAGTTGTCTGGGTTTAACAATTAAAGATTATAGGTCTGATCTATTTCAAAGATGCAGAATGCTTACAGCTCCTTGGAACTTCTGTGGAATTTGTGAGTGTTAGTGTTTCTACAAAATCAGGTCCAGGTTTTAAAAAAAACCCAGAGCCTTAATTTAAGAAAGCTATCAAGCAAATGCATGTTAATGATATTGATACACCAGATCCTCAAACACATGATGTTTATAAGTGGAATAGAAAAGTGGTAATGCTGTGTTTTAATTCATAACATAGTATTTTTTCATAAGAATTAACAAGAGAGAGGTTACTATTAAAACCAAGAATATGGGTAGGTTCCAAATAGCAAAAGAGAATACAGTTTTCTGCAGCATTATTAAACAAATTATTGAACAATGTCTGCCCATTTGAGAAAAAAAGAATTATTAACAACAATATGGAACAGGAATACTCTGTCTAATAGCATGTATGATTTTTAAACAAAAACAAAAACAAACTACTGTGTGCACTTTTATCATGGTCGCTTTCTTGTTTCAGTAGAGTTTCAATAATAAACATGCAAAAATAAATAGTAATAATAAATTTAAAGTAAAATTTTATTAAATAAATAGAGTTGTGTTTCAAACAATTCACTTAAAAATTCAAACTGCCACTAAGGGAAATTATTAACAATTGTTTTGGAAAAATACCTTGCCAAGTTAAAAGGTGGATTTTTGTAAGTTTTATCATAGCTTGTTGCTATGTTCATCTTATTTGACCGTCATTGACACAGACTCAGATATGTACTTCTAATACGGATTTTAAATCTCCAAGTAGATTTCTGTTTTAATGGAGGATATAACAAACAATTTAGTAAATGCATAAATAATACTGATCCTTTTAACAGAAAAAAGTAATTCTCCTGAGAAAGATATTAATACTGGACCAACTTCTCTGTGCATACAGATAAGAAAAAACCTAAACATAATTTCATGGGGAATTATTCCTTGTTGGTGAACATATACTGTGAAGCAGAAGGCTTAATCTCCTGGACTACTCTTATGAAGACCTGCAGAATGTTTCTTACTCCTTTTGTAAATCAACATCTTCTCCATCTAAACAGCTATAAGGGTACTAGTGTAGCTGCAGACTTGGAACCTATAAATTTTCAAAATGTAAAGGTCAGAAAACTGTACTCCTGAACCAGGAACAGGGGAAGGCAAAATCATAAGCTTAAAAATGAGGAAATGTCTTCCACTTTGATCAAGGAAGGTGATGTATTCTACAAATGGGACTCTATATATTTTAATATTTGGCACTGACTGAGCTGTTCACTGCTTGACCATTTTAGTCAGCCCTCACGACCTCATTTGGATACAGTGACTGTCCATCCAAGCTTTTCATTTTCTGTCTTCCTAAGGAGTTAAATTACATCAGTTCTTTACATCAGCTGAACATAAGTTCTTCTGCTTAAGCTCTAGTCTGTGAGTCACTAGCAAGACATATATGACTTCATGTTCTAGACCAGGACTTTGCCTAATTTTAATAGACTAATTATAGATTTGGTAATACAACATGTTCAGCCTAAGGAATGGATTTGATTTGAACAAAAATTCTCTATACCAAAATAAATGGAGAGCACAACCAAAGGACGTTTGTATTTCAGACTATGAAATAAGAAGCTATGATACTTTAGCAATACTTCCTTAGAGCTTAAAGATGAAAGCAATGAGCTCACTGCCAAACCAAATAAAATGCAAGTGAAGAACTAAATTTTGCAACTTATGCAAATTAAATTACAATTTTTGTGGAAGGATTAGTTTAAAAAATACTACAGGTAATGCAGAAAACCTCTTAAAAGGTGAGTTAGTGAACAGCCTGTAACTTAATTTTATGTTGTCAAAACATGAATGAAAACTAAGTCTTAAAACAACGAATTTGAGAAAACCATTCACCTCAAAGACAGTTCTGATATCTCCCACTCTTCTTTACAGTTACTGGTAGTTAAATCATGCCTAGTGGGCAAATGGACTTGATACTAAGTGAGGTGACCTACATTGTTAATTAGTTCGAGTGCAAAAAGACAGGCATGCCCCTACAGTTTACTAAGTAACTTCTAGTAGCTTCTGAATTCACCAATCATCAAGAGAAAGAAAAATCTTTGAGAGGAAAAGAAGGAATAACCAGCAGGAGGAAGAACATCTCAACATCAGTAACATCTGAAATTACATTAAAGAGAGAAACAAAAAACTTTTATACAAAAGAAAATTCTAGTGTCCCATAAAAGCCCTGAAGCTCGTACGGTGTCAAAATGACATAACGTATAAAGCTGATGTCTAAGAGTAGAAAATAAAAAGCTTTCTAATTCATTTCCACATGCAGCAATGATGCTTCCTTTGCAGGCTCTTCCAGTTCTGCTGTACTCTTCCTTATGCTTCAAAACATTCAGTAGAGTGGTCCCAAAAACCTAAGGATCTCCAGAATTGTACACCTTTTTGCCATAGTGTCATAGTTTTATTCTCTATCTTTGGGTGGCTTTTGTGATCCAGAAGTAGGTAATAATTTGTGAAGAACATTTGCATGCAGTTGCTTTGAAACTCAGTATCAGAAATTACAATTGTCTTAATAAATAGTATCAGTGAAAGACAGATCAGAGCAATAAGATTGCCATGTGTCTGCTCTTGCATATAATTATGATTTTTTTACCTTTTAGATTGGTAAATACAATTATAAAAGAATGTGTATTTTTAATATTAGAGATAGCACAATAAGCAACATTCACAGATGCTATGGCAAGCATTTTATGTGTAATTTATGGTTCTATGTATATTTCAGAATAAAGCAGATTCCTGTTTCCCAGTAGAAATAAGTTTATTCAGAAGGCAAATATTTAATCCCAAAAAAGAAAATAAACCATAAAATTAAAAGTAATTTAAAAGTAGTTCTTAAATATATATAAAGAATCCAAGTTAGTTGGACTCTTCAAGAAAAATGAAGTAATTGCTTTTCTTCTTTTGTAAAAAACAATATGCTCCAAGCTCCTCTGAGTAATCTTAAAAAAAAAATATTTTAAAATAATAATGAAAGACAGGAGTATCTTTTTTCCTCCCCAGGTAAAAAAGAAGAATTTTCTCAGCTGGATACTACTTTAGATGAGAAATTACAAAGAAGAAAAGACTTTACATACCAATGGCTTCATACTCAGCTTTTGGATTATGAAACAGCCAGCTCCAAAAATATGAAGTGGTGAGGTCATTGCCTTTAAATTAGATTTTTTTTGTTGTATTTTAAATTTATCTTGTAAAGTGAAACCTAGGTTAATAGTTCTAAAATAAACATGACTGTGTAGCTAGCAGACAGTACACTGTGTTTCCGGTTCCCAAACATGGTACCCTTTTGAAATGGTTTGGTATTCATTGTACAGTGATAATGAAATGATAAACAGTGCCGACTTTTGGTAAATATCTGGCGATGCAGAGTTTTTTATATTGTATAGAGTGTAGAAAAAAGTGCTTATTTGTCATGTATTTTATAATTTTATTGGTATATATTATGGTTTTACATAATTAGATCAACTGTAACATTACCTGTATTGTTAGATTTGATTAAGGAAGTAAAAAAACCCACTTTTAAACTAGATAGTATATATTTTATTTTATCTTCAAAACATAAACCAAATTTCTACGTCTTCATATTATACTTTGGTAAAATGTTGCAAACGTGACCCTTCTATGTTTAATCTTGGTTATTAAGCAGGTAAAACATCAGTGTGGTTAAGAAAAGGGTTAATCTCATTCACTAAACTAACATGAAGCATACTAAGTATATTTTGTTCATAAATTCAATGTAAACCATTGATGTCTTTGTGAGGTCATTAGTAGACACAATGCCAAGCACATCTAATAAAACCAAACAAGGTGTCAGTCGGCAAGCAATTGATTTAATGTGAGCATTTTAACTTTATTTTCATTAGAAATGTATTTAATTCATAATGAAATGGGCTACATATTGTTATGTTTTCTGTGGAAAAATATTCCAATTTTCTAAATTGTGTCAAAGACTGTAGGAAGTATATGCAGCACATATTCCTCAGAAAATATTTATCTGTCAGTCATGTTCCATAATAGTGAAACACTTCAAGTGTTTGTTTAAGATAACTGACATGAGTTTTAATTTAAATGAAAACACTGGAACAGAACACATAATGATGTTTCAAAGTAAGGAGACACAAACATTTTTTAAGCAATCTTTTAAAATACTATATTTTGTTACCTCTGCACGTGTGTGCTATGCACTAGTATTTATACTGATATTTTTTAAGATTACGATACCATTTTTGAATGGGGCAAAAAGTCCCACTAATCTGCATTGGAACATCATTGGCAGAGCATTTAGAACAGCTGATACATTTAGGTAACTGAAAAAAATTTTATTCCTGCATAAAGTAATGTGACAACGGATATGGCTGTAATTTATGTTACTGCATGCAAAAACTCATACATGGTTGCATTTATTGACATTTATGTTTTAATAAGTATTTTATCATTTGAATAAACTGTATTAGTTAATGATTTATCAGTTTTGATTCTAGGTACATTTTTTTAATATTAATTACTCTGATGCTTTTCAACATTATCAATTAATATTAATTCCTCTGATACATCTTAAATATTAAATTATTTTAAGTAGTATCATTTCTACTTAAGCAGGAGTGTTTCCAGGAAAAACATTCTGTGCAAATATTTTAGTGAAGCCAGTACAGTGAGATTTATTGAAATTTCTATTCTACGTTTTTCCTAGCCATCATTTTTTGCCTGAGTTAGACCCTGCGATACGTGACAGTAGACAAGTACAACTTGTGGTAAGAACTTATTTCCTTGTGGGATTGTGCAGAATTCAGCTGTGCCTTGCTGGTGTTTCCAAATGCATACTTGGTGTAAAAGCAACCAGGGGATTTTTTTTTTTTTAATGTAATTCTTTAATGTTTTCTCTATTTGGCAATCGAGTCACCCATTGATGGAGATCAGAAGAAAATGTTTCAGCACGAGAACCCATGTGTGTACATAGGGCTCTAGTTTTGTAATCTGAAGCTGGTTTTGTTTTAAAACATCAAATACTACTGTGTACTTTTTAAAGCTTCTAAATCAACCCTTTAAAAATGTTTTAGAAAAATCAAATATGGTTCAGCACCAATTACATTATGGACTGAAAACATGTATGCTTGTCAATCAGATGAGTTAAATGTTCTTAAATTCTGTAAGTCACATACCTAAATCATTCTAATATGCCTACAATGTCATTTATTAAAAGACAATAAGTTGAAATTGGATATTAATATGGTGACATTATTAAAAAGTGCATTAAATCAGAATTTCCTACAATCTTTCTATATTTTTATAACATTACCCTGTTTATGATTCATTCTTTTCTTTGCAGCGTTAAAAAATCTATTTTCTGAAATGTATATTTCTGTAGGTTGATGAGTCAAAATATGAGCAATCTAACAATCTGGAAATTTACAAAATTTACTCGGTGTCAGAGATACCCAGAAGTTCCTCTGATAGTGAGCAGGGTTATGATGCCTACAGGCCTATTTATACTGTGTATATGTATGTATATATACACACTTTACATTCTATAGTCAAATTAAAAATATGCTTGTGGATATAATTATGTGGGAGTTAAAAAAATGGAGCAAGAACTTGCAAACTATACAGAATATTATATCCATATATCTAGAGTCTTATATCCCTATACATAATGTAAAATGTTGCATAAAAAGTATTTCCAGGTTAGATGATGTGTCATAGGCCTCATTCTGTACTCTGAGCAATTTGACCCTTTCTAAAAATCTATCTTCTTCAGCTTCACCACCTATGAAATATGTATGTTTTGGAACTGCATCTATAAACTCTTCTAAAATTCACTGTTGGCAAAGGCTTGTAAGGATTTACTAGTACTCTTTTCTTCAAGTCAGATTTTGTCAAAGATTTTTCTCTGCTGTGGGATGTGTCTAATTCTTGGGTTCTTCTTAAAGTTTATGGGCTGAAATCATGAACCGAGCGACTGTGGTGATGGGTTTTGGTTGCAGCAGCACTAGTAGTCATTTGTTAGGTAAAGTCTAAAACAGTAATTGCTCTCATTTGAGCAAATCATAATCTAATAATGTTATCTAAATTACACATTATGCAATTATCGGTAAGCATATGTGCACATAGGTAGATTCTATCTCATTTACAGTAAGCAGTTCTGTCCGCAAAATACTGCTGCAATCCCACAACAGTATTATGTGGTGTGCCCACATAACTGGCAACGTTATGGGATTGTCACAGGCTGTGCCATGTAATTACATAGCTGTTCCACATGAATGAAATAAGAGAAAAAGTCAATAGATGGTAAAAAAAAACAGAAAAAGGAATAAAATGTATCTCTAATGCAGAGAGCAGCACTATGAAGGCAATGAAATAATGATGTGGTTTGTACATATAGATGGCTGGAGAATTATCTCTTAACTTCCAAAGACTGAAACGTGAACATACTCCTAATGTCTTTCTCACTGGGAGATGGAAACTGTATTCAAGGCAAAGATTCCTCCTGACTGAAATTAATTTCCAATTAATTGGGAAAAATAGAATTTGTAGTAGTAAAACTAAGGGTAAAAACTCTGAGGAGTTAAATATGATGATCGCTACAGAGAGAAGTCCAATACTGCACTCTGCAAAAAAATGTACCACTATCTTAAATTTCTTCCAAATTTTTGGCTCTAAGCTATAAATGTGAAAGGGAAGGTTTTAATTAGCTTCAGAGGACTTTCAATCAGGTTCTTTAGAAACCTGAAATTAAGGTTACTCCAGTGATTAATACAACATTATATATTTCTTTGACTGTAATTGGGTGAAAACACCTTTAATTGAAAGAAAATAACAAATATTTTACATCAGAGACAGCCCTATTAAAATCTAGCTTATAACAGTGAATATTGTTGTCTACAAGACAATGAAACCTCAGATTCTATGATGATAGAGTTTGGATAATAAGATTAATGGTTTAAAATACTGTGGCCTCCCGGGAATTGGGACGTTAGAAATCTTCTGCTGTGTGATAGAACAGCTTAAATGGAAATAAGAATGATCAATTCCATTAGTTTGGGTCTCTCTGAGCATGACAATGATTGCATTATTCGGACTAAGTCATGACAAAAAGCTTTCTACTTAAAGATTTTCAACATATGGAGATCTCTCAGACTTAAAGCTGTAAATATTAAGGCCAGAAATATGAGGAGTTGGCAGAAGAAAACTTTTCAAAGTTTCTTGGCACTGCTCTGAAAGAGAAAATAAAATATTGATGTTAACAGTGATAATACAGCCTGCTACCTGCAGGCTGCAAAAGTATAATAAAATCATGGTCATTAAACATATAAAAGGCAAGCATCAGAAAACAAGGGATAAACTTTGTGTGCTGGAATAAAGGATATACAGTCACTAAGGAGGAGCATAAATTCTCTGTATCTTTGGAGTTGGTCATTTGAAAATACATGAACTTTTTTATGAATTGTACATTAAACAGTGACTGGGTAAGACAAAGAAATGAAACAGGTCTCCATTTCATCTGAGTTCTCTAAGTTAGACTGGACTACAAAGCCTGTCTGCTTCGGTGTGGTGCTGCTCTTGGTACAGTGAGCTGGTTTGAACAGGAAGTCTGGAGATCGTCTCCTCCAGAATAGCCTACAACTTCATAGTAACGGCATTTTCCTCAGAAAAAGGGATCTGCAGGCTTCAGCCCCCCAAGGAAGGAATTGAGACCCAGTTTCTCAACTTTTGATCGAACAGTCTAGCTACTAAATGTTATGCAAAATTTGGTGACATTGCCACTAGCATAGTCTTTCTTTTTTTTCATTATTTGTTTGGGGTTTTTTTGAAAAAGGACTCTACTCAGTTAGGCACCTAGCTTTGTAAAGGATTTGAGGCTTTTCAGCCCAGATAGAGGAAAGGCTTAAGCTGCCTTCTGGACTCTGCTTCTGAAGGTCCAGAGACTAGAAAAGTGTGTCCTTATGTTCAGTACTTCCAGCCAACTGACCCTACCCCAGGGATTTTGTAGATCACTCATCTGCAGCATCTGATCTGCCCTGTCATTGTTACGGGCCCTCAGCATCTAGTCAGCAATACTGTTAGATGGGTGCTTTTGGTGTTGAATAGCTTTTCGTTTCAAGGAAAGGGAGTTCTTGCTGAGATCGTTTCTGCAAAACTAAAAATCTGCCGTTTACAGTGGTGTCTTACAGGTCAGTATTTTTAACCTTTTCCTTACATGTTCCCAAAACAAGGACCCCTTGCTAAAACGAAATACGATTATCATTTCTATTTTGCCATATTTATTTACAGTTATCATGTCTCATGCCAAAATGTACCACCGCTGGATGTTAGAAGTTTATAATTAATACAATTCTCTTACCAAAAGCATAATTAAAAGACTGTCTGATGGTTATGGTTAATTAGCAAAACTTTAAAAGATTAAATTACTTACTAGGCCCTTGACTGATTGAACTGATACGTGTCCTGGATAAAACATAAATATTGCAGAAAATAATCCAATATGACATCTGTGACATTCAACCATAACTTAAATTATAGACTGGTCAGTAAATGATCTTAAGCTGTTTAAGGTTTCATCAGCCGTCTGCAAGATTGATTTTCTTCAAAATTACTGTACTAAAATGTTTCCTTTTGTTGTTGCACTGACTCAGATCCCAAACCACAATTTTAAGATCGTCTCTTATTTACAAAAATGCTTTGACATAGTGCATTTGTTCAGCCTAGGCAACAATAAAGGATTGTGGTATCATTTTGAAGAAGGTTGTTTGACAGACCCTGTTTGTTTATTTGGGGTAATGTGAGCTGCATTCAGAAAATGTTATATTTTGTTTCATGATTGTGTACATTCTCTCCCACTGCTTCCAGGCAAGCCCTGTAAGCAGAGAAGACATGGATTTAGACCTTGTTTCCATGGCCAGTGGAAGTGCTTTGACTGAGAACAGAGAGAAAAATAAGCAGCCACACAGACATTCAGCAAGTTCTTCAAGTAAGTTGTGGGGTTTTTTCCACTATCGGTTTTAAAGATCTCTTTAAAATGCTAGATGGAACTGAGCACACTTGGAATCCCTAATAAAACATGCTACTTATGTTTCTGTTTCTTTCTTACCTAAAAGCTTTTTGTATGTTTTCTACAGCTCTGTTTAAAAACTGTGGCATTAGTATCAATGGACTTTTCTCCCCTGATTTTTACAGGAAGTTGCCTGTGGCATATTCTAGGTCTTCTGATGATCAACTTCTTAAAAGATTTTCTTTCTCAAAATTATAAAACAGAGGGGTTTTTTTTAATGTTGTCCTTTTTTTAATTCCAAAAGAGGTTTGAAAAATACATGTTTTGTTAACTGAATACAGGGACATGTATCCTAATCAAGCCACAGATTTGTCCCGTTGATTACGAATTATCTTTTCGTGTATATATCCCACTGAACATTTATATGTCAGTAGCAGAGAATCCTCTCAGAGTGTTATATTTTTACCACTCTGATATCATACAGATTAACAAAAGAATCTATACAGAGAAAAAAAATAAAAAATAATACTTGAAAGTCATAAAATGGTATCATTTTAAGTTTCATATTTTATTTTGTGTAATATAACTGAGGAAAATGTTAATATATTTCTAATAATGACATACTATATTTTGTCATTTGTGTACAATCTATTTTCCAAATAAATATAATGCCAAACCCCCAAAATATATGTTACGTAAAATACAAGCAGCATTAAATGACTTTAGTACAAGTATTGGAATTCTTAAAACTGTTTAAGTAGTGAAGTTTCTTCAAATGTTTTATGTCAAAACAGAAATCAAGTTATCTCGTAAATTATATGTAAATGGTGGATTTTCTTGTTTTGATTATATTTTCCTATATGCTGACTTTCCACTTGCAGTGGAAAACAAATTAAAATTCAAGGAAAACATATTAAAATACTTGATATCTCTATTTTTATGACATACTTTGCGAAGGCCTTGTAATAAAGATTTATTTACATTATATTAGTCCACTACAGGCAAAAAAAAACATTGAGTACAGCCTGTCCATGCTTATTCACTTGATTTACATTCCTAAAATTAGATTAGATAAAATTTATCATTGTAGTCTAAGTTAATTGCTTCCATGGAGAAAGAATATGATTCTTTCTCTCTGCCTGCCATCTTAGAAAAAAATGAATTGTGTCCTGAGTTTTCCTGTTTCTCTCCATTGGCTAGTTATGAAACCCCACTACTTAAATTAGATGAGATTCCTAACAGCTGAAATCCTGAATTTAGGTGAGACAAGTCTAAGCTGCTGATGCCAATGACAAAATTAGATTCATGTATTTGGAATAGAATGTATTTATATGGTGAGTAGTTGAGTTAAATAGTATATATTGCATTCATATTCATGTATAACTACTTTCTAGATATAACCCACGCTATACACCTATTCAGAAAAATCAATAAGAATATAAATAAGCTCTTTCGATGGAGGCAGACATGTAGAACTTACCTATGTTAGGAACTTGGCAACAGGAAAGAAAAAAACGTCAATGCATTATGCCTTTGAAAAGATGAGACTAGGAAAGGAGCAGGAAAGAACAATCAACTGGCAGAGTCGTACATGTGAGAGACAGAGAGACACTTTACAGTGTCTGGTAATACATATGTATTTTCATAAAATAACACATCTACTACAGAACAATTACATATTCGTTCTTCTTTCAGTAGTCCAGGAACTAAGTTAAAATAGGTCCAGGTTGTATGTCTTTTTATACGCATTTCTGCATGTGCATCTATTTGAATTTTTCATCATGGATTTGAGAAATTAAAGAGTGTTGAGACAATAAATTATAATACATATTATATGTAAAACCAGACATAACTATTATCTTTATACAATTTACATATAGAATATGAACATGTTTATTATATTGATTCTGTTTGCCAACGACTGCTTTTCAATGATAGAGAATAACTTAATAGCCTTGTGGCATCCTTCATCTGAAAACGTTAGAAATTTACCTTTATTTATAATATATTCATTATAAAATACTTTCCAGTTGTATTATCTCTTGTGGCTTTGCTTTCTGAAATATTTGTTGAAAAAGTCTATAAACTGCTTTAATGATTTGAGTGACTTAGCCTGCATTTCTGTTACAGAAGAGCTTAGAAAAGATACTGTGACCTTAGAGGTGCTGCCATTTCGATAAACTTTTAAGTCAAGTTCTTTTAACATTTTTTCAGGAGAATACAGCCTCAAGGGTTTAACAAGCTTTAATTAGTAAAAAATCACTAAATTCACTTTGCAATGTCAATAATCCAGCTCAGAATTCTTTCCAGTTATTTGTAGGAAGCCTTCAGCAAACTATGCCATACAACAGAGATGTTTTATATATGTATGTATATCTCAGAGATAATAGTTGGGGGTATCTTTTATGCTTCTTACATACAATTTGTAACTCAGTAATTGTATCAATAAATTGTTGAGATCCTTCAGACTGAAAAGGGAGATCTAAAAATGCAGGATAAATGGTTTTAGGTGTATATTTAGGTATATTAAGCTGATAAAATGCATTTTATGTACTGCAGGGACATAACTATACATTCATGACATGTTTTTGTGAAGATAAAACATACAATGCTTCAAAGTTATTATACTTCAGAAGGTTTTTTAGAAAGGTTACGTCAAGATTTTTCAGAAATATCTTGAGGAATTGCCCATCTTCAATATTCTTTTTGTAGATCTTGCTTTCCAAAGGTAGGCTCTTAAAAAGTCTGGTTATAGAATTTTAAGGGGTTTATCATTCAAATTTTCTATTTTTTTCTGAAAAAAAAAGGATTGGGTAGATAAATCCTAAACTTTGTTCCTTGAACAAAATAAATTAAGGAATAAGAGAAGTGCTGTGGACATGGTATATCTCGGTTTAAGGAAAGCATTTGTGTACTTAAAAGTATTTGATGTGGTTCCATGTTATATGTTCAAAGGGAAAATTCATGGTGTGATATATTCACCTAGTATTACAAAAAAAAAAAAGTATAAAAATATGTATAACCTAAAGAAAGAGTATCAATTATTCAGTTAGACTAATTACTGATCTGTCTGATTTAGGACCTTGCCTCTCTTGTTGGCCAGCACATTATGTTCTCAACCATACTACTTTATATTCTTTCCAGAAATCATAGTTGTTTCTTTATGCTCCCTGGTAACTAATTTTTCCTTGCTATTTCTTGAGGTGGGTTTTTGGGGTGGGTTTTTTTTTTTCTGTTTTTCTTTTTTTTTGTCTGTTCTTGTCTGACCACTGCTAAGAGTTTATTCTCTGTGGTACCTCATGGCAATAAATTGCAAAAGTAGGTTTTTTTGGAAGGACCTTTTGCTGATTGTGTTTTTGACTTTTCAGTTTCACATATATTTACCTTGCTTTCATGAGAAAAAGACAGAAAAAAAATTCTGTTTTCTCCTGATAAATAATTTCCCTGCAATACACATACATAAGCCATGATGGATAGTGGCTTACAGTCAGCGTTATGCAAGATTCAAGTATCAGTCCTGCACACATTGGTATTTTTTTTAACTCCATAAATATAGGTATGAGCTGGATATATTTTTTAATACTTGCATGAACATTGGTGGTGTAGTCAGCACTAAGCTGCAAGATGGATATAGAAAGAGTTCACAAGAATTCAAAGTAATTACTTTTTTTTTATACCTGGTTAGACAGGATTCATCTTCATTGTAACTGTTTTCTTGTAAACTGCAGTCTTATGACAGAAATTTCCAGAAGCACCAGAATTTGAAAGTGGAATGCAAGGGGAGCCATGCCTCTAATTGTTATTTGAAATACTGCCAAGAATTCTTAGTTCTTTTCTTGAATTCCAGTCTTTCAGGGAGCCTCTGATATCAGGAAAATACTACTTTCAAGGAAAATATTTTAAAAATTTGACATGAATCTTGTCACTTTTTTTATCACCCCTACTTCAAAAAATGGCACATAAATACCATCTCCACTGCAGAACTTTTACCAATTTCATTTCATAAATTCAAACTTTACTATTCTGTCAGTCAATTAAATCAATGTCAATGAAATCAGTGAAGATTAATAATGCCTTTCTTATGGTGGAAAGACTTCAAACTCAAAAAAAGACCCAAGAAAAGAGCAATTTTCATTTCACTTTCCTTTTTACATCTTCCAATTCTTTTTCCTCTTGACAGAACCCCTACCTTGATTTTCTGCCTTCCTTTCTTTGATAATGAAAGTCCTTTAGAAAGTCATCCACTTTGTTTCAAGCAATGTATGGTACAGCTTCACTTCTTAAAAAAAATCTTGCTTTTTTCTCCTTTCTCCTTAGCGTTTCTATTGTCTATATATTCTAGTTCCATAACTGCTGTCTTTGATTTAGGATTTGTAAACTCCCTGTATGCAGTAAACATCTCATTTTTAAGCACTCTCTTCATGCCTTTCTTCATGTTTTACCAAGGAGTTTCTGGTGGTCTTTCATTATTTGATTCTTTTTTTTTTTTTGCTTATGTGGTCTGAATTACAATTTTTTCATATTACAGAAACTGAGTAAGAAACAAATATCAAATATGGAGGTACTTATTTAGTAGTCCTTTCAATTTCTTGACATTTGCCTGCTTAATAGACTTTGTAGAAAATAATGGTAAAATATATGCTTTTTCCTTACGTAGAAAAATGAGTAGAAATGCCATAAACATATAGAGGATATTAACAGTACAAATTACTTATTATCAGAAGCAAAATGCTGAAACTAAATTTACCTTAGAAATCACAGCTACTGTCACAATTTTAGGAATAATGTCATCTCTTCTGTAAGCCACATCTGGTTGTATGACTAGATTGTTAGTGGACAAGCATATTGTTGAAAAAAAGAGAGTGAGATGATTCTCTGCTATTAATATTTTTGTTCTTAGAAAAAAAAGGCATAGAATGAATAAGAAAAGGTTCTATAGTTCTGAAGTAATGCAATTTTACCAGGCTTTTATATCTAGT